GCTACAGAAAATGAAGTCCAGTTTCCTGTGGCTTTGTGTCTTGTGGTTAAATTATACTGTGTCTAATAAGATGCAAGCTCAGATCGAAACTTTTCCTGTGGTTGAGGCATCTATCAGCTCCTTTTCTCTCCCGTGAGGATTTTCTGATGTCCAGGAAGAATGTTTTGCTCACAATGAAGACTTTCTTTCAGCAGAAAAATAAGTAGGGCCACTCAGCTCTGCTTGGCTACTAATTTTCACCAAACACAGAAGCGAGCTTCCTTCATCAAATAGTCATCAAATCCAAAAGATATAGAGCACTGAAAGACAGGCACATAGGCAGCATGATGATAACATGCATTTCTGTATGAGAGCAGGTTGAAAGTGCAAGTATCTTGGGTGCAGATGTTTTTGTCCCAGACCAAGTTTTTCCCCATATGTAGATGTGTATGCAAGACGCGTGTTCTTTTTATAAGTAAGAAATCCTGTAGTAATAGTGGGGGAAAGAAATCCAGCACAGGCAGGTCAAGAGAGGAGAGTAAAAGATCTGCTACTGAGTGCAGGTAATTCTGGAAACAAGGTTGAGCAGACATTTTTTATAAGATATGCTGGTGTGATTTTACTGGCAGCAGGAAACCGATGCTCTGAAAGGAGTACAGGAGTAGTGCCTTGATGGTTTATTCACAATATGAAGAGATTTTGTTTTCCTTATATGAACTCTAAGCCTTATCTTTGAGTCAACCACCACTGTACCAACTTTCTAGCCTCCTATCTGCTGAATATCCTGGGATAACCTTCATCAGCAAAAATAAGGTCTCAAATAAATAAATCTTAATTTCTCACTCTTCAGGGGCTTTCTCGTGCTTTATCTGAACTCTTCTTCAGTGGAGAACAAGGTCTTCAGGGCAATGACAAAAGGGATAATGGGGGACAGATCTTCTGCTTCAGACTTTCCTTATGTCTATATTGAAGGAGACAGTCACCACGTCAGCATTTTTTGTCTTGGAAAAAAATTTCTCCTTGCTCAGCTTTTGCCTGAAATGTATTTACTATGAAGAAGAGCATGCAAAAACAAATGGCTACATTCATTTCTAAAAGTACTTCAGTAAAACATCTCTACAGCAAGGGTAAAGGCTGTACAGCCAAACCTTGCCAGCAGTTGCTCTGCTATTGCAGGGCAGCAGTGGCACTGCCCCCATGCTGTTGTCTCTGCCAGATCACCCTGAGGGTGATTATAAATTTACTGAGTGTGGATGAGGCCACAAAGACCTTCCATGACAAGACAAAAGCAACACCAGGGTCCTATTTGCCTGCTCAAACATTGATTTAGTGTATGCTTTAAAAATTAAGTCATCTGATGAATTTAAAGATGTGTTTCATTTGCTGAGACAAACTTTTACAATGGCGAAAGATTAGCAAACTTGAAAGAATATGTTTGCTATAAGAGTTTCCACAATTAACTGAGTCTAACAGATTTTGGCTATGTTCCCCAGAAAAAGCACTACAGGTCACGCATATTGCAATTATGGTTTACCTCACCCAGTAAAACCAATTATCCTTCACATCCCTCTCTTCATTGTTTTCTAGGGAGACCATTTCTACTTCGACTGTTGGCTCATGGCATCCAGCTGGGAGGTAGGCATATTTGAAAGTCCTTGAGATGAATCCTTAAGTCAGAATTAGTTTACACAGGGATGCAGAAGTAGCCCAGCAGAAATATAAAGCTCTAGTCTTCAGCTCAGCTCTGTTGACGACACTTTTCTGTCCAGCTTTCTCTAAGAAGCAGGAATCTAATGAGTTAAGGAAAATCTGCCAAGGTCGCAAATTCAGACTCTGTTCCTGGGTATGAGAAGCATTTGCATTTAGGCATGCAAATCCTCTCTCCAAGGAATCTCAGGTGGCACTTGGGTCTCCATTCAGAAACCTCTAAAGAGCGCCTGTTACAGCACTTGATACTTTCTGAGATAACCACGTCTTCCAGTATCTCCAACAGGGAAGACCAAATGGGATCTTTTAAATATCACTTACTTAAACCTATGTGGCCCCACTGGCCCAGAAAGGTCATGAATAAAACTTCATCTTTTCACATAGTTCCTATTGAGGTTTTAATACCATTTGTTGAAATGAGCACCTGAAGGGCTCTGCTTTTCATGTGTTGTCTGCAAAGAACCAGCAAGCACCAGTGCCAACATCCATACTCTTTGATGGTTCTCATCTGACTAGAAGCCCCTGCCTCTTCTTCTCTGCTTGATCTACCTGGACTACCCAAGCCATGAGAGGACTCAGTCAGCACAAGTTTTCCATGTAATTTACCTGAGATTTTAATTACCAGACAAATCAAACAGCAGAGAGTTCAGGCAACACACAATCCACTTGGGAATTCACCACCTGCCTGGTTCAAAAAGCGTAAGCAAAACCACATTGTTTTATAAGTTTCAAAAAGAGAAGGAAGATGAAAAACAGTAAGCATCTGATTTCTTTTTCTTCTAGCATCTATTAATTTCTACAGTAGCTGGATTTTAACACAGCTACTATAGCAAACTGCAACCTTTCAGTGGCTCACACTGTTGCTTTGGGTTCATCCTTTCATCTTCCCAGAGATGAGACTGACAGAATCTTGATTTGTTCTGAGAATACAGCCCATCCCATACAGTTAAGGATCCTGTGGGAAAAATCACGTAAACGTCATGGACACAGAAGGAAGAGGATAATTTATGTAACACAGACAACTTATTTCTGATATTTTGTTCTTTTCTAGTGCTTCACTTGCAAGCTAAATAATGTAATTTTTACATGCAATTCCACTAAAGAAAAAAGTGAGGGAGAGAGTACTGGAAAACTTCATAAGTAGTCATCAGGTCCCAAAACCTTAGATCGACAGCACAGCCTACAATTGTCCTAATCTGCTTGAGCACTTGGTGACAGAGTAGAAGACTATTGTCTATACCCAGCCATGGGAAGGACATGAGACAGATCTTTACCAAGTACATTTCAAAGCTATTATTTGGTAGACAGCAAATGACAGATGAAAGCTGGGAAAGCACAGTTCAATCACAGAACAAAATAGTATTTTTTCTTTTTTTTTGAAAACTCTGTTGTTCTTGCTCTCCCTGGCTCCTCTCTTCATCCCCACATCTGTTCCCACTTACTCTGCCCCCATTTTCTCACTGGGAAGAATCAGACAGTCTTTACTGCAGGCACAAGTATCCATTCCAAGCGTCTTCGAGGGAGTACATACTTAAGTCATGCTTCTACTCTACTGGATGTCCTTGCCTTACATGTGTCCCAGGCCTTGACTCAGCAAAATAGTTCAGCAGGGACCTCACTCTACAGAAGTGCTTGAACTCCCAAATCTCTAGCATGCATTTAATTTTGAGAAGTCGTTCCACTCAAGCTAGCAGAAGTGCTCTGTTTCTCACTGCCTTCTCCTAAACTGGGGCCTGAGACCTGTGTATGGCACTTACTTTTGACACCAAGAGCCAAAAAAATGCATATCAATCATGTAACAAATATTAAATAAATATATATAGTGGCAAGAAAGACTGTTATTTTCCCCACCTTTTTTCAAGGTGAGCTAATTAGAAATATTCTTCCTCCTTTTGTTATATACTCAAAACTCAGAGCAAGACATTACTCAGCTGGCTCATGAGACCCCAGCTGGGTCTCTGTGTGTCCCTTGAACCAGGGAAAATTAGTGAGCTCCTGGGGCACTCATGTTGGACAGAAAACCTTCTTCCTCACTCATTCACTGACCTTCCTCCAGGGAGGGCTCCTTACCCTCAGCCCTCTAGGTGGCTCAGGTGTCCTTTACAGACCAAAGCACACCACAGCCTCCCTGATGGAGGGGAAAAAACTGCCTGAAAACATGACAATGCCTGTATTTGCCTGTTCCTTGTAGGTAAACGATTGTGATCCATGGGAGGAATAGAGAACTGGCATGGATGGGGGAACAACATCATAAGACCAACAGACTGCTATGCAAAATGATGACTTAATAGGCAGTGCCTGTAACCATTCGTTGTATTAATTAATTGAAATTAACCTGTTTCAACTACTAGGAAGATTTTAATTCTGTTGTAAATGGCAAGTGCTCAGTGTGCAACAAATCAGATAAATGTAGAAAATCACTGCTCCACAAGAGAACGTTGCTGTTAGCTCTTCTTTTTAAGGGAAAAGGAGCTGACATAACAGGACAGGACATTTCCCACTCAGAAAACATGCATGCTCAGGCAAGCTGCAGGACTGTGTAAAGCAGGCAGCTGTGGAGAGATGAGTAAGTCCAATCCATTCAGAGATAAAACAACTTTCTTTCTTTTTTTTTCATAGGATAGTCTAATGTGGAAACTGCCAATCCTTCTCTCACTACTTCTTTGATGTTCATTTGCTTTAAAATTTTTCCCCTGTGATGAACAACAGAGATTGCCAGTAAGTATGTGCAAGCTCAGCAGCAAAGCAGAAGGAACAGACTATTTGTTGTTCAAAATGAATCCTTGAAAATTACTGCCTACAGTCATTCCCTTCTGTTTGCTTTACTGTTACAGGAAAAAGGCAAGCAAACAAAGTACAATGGCAATAGCTATAATAATAACTCATTAATGTAAACTTCTATTGGAGGCTTGTAAGCCTGCAAAATATCACTCTGAAAGGGATACTGAAAAAGATGTATTTATTTTCTCACTGCCCACCCCTTTCTACTTGTAGGTATTACTCGCAACTGATGATTTTTTGTATTAAATGTCAACACTGTTAAAATTACCACAAGAACAGCCAAAGTACCCTGTCCATAAGGGTCAGATGTTTAGGGAAAAATGCAAGAAGAAGGGAGTCAGAGTACTACAAGATGGTAATACCTTCTCCAGACACACTCCTCATCTCAAACCACTACATATGTTGCACATGCTGCACACAGACAGCATAACCTGCTCCTTCAGAAGGCATCCATCCTGGAGGCCTTCCTTGAATGGGATGTTCCTCGCCCCAAGCCAACGGCGGGTGGCGGCACTAGATGGCACTGAAAGCCCTGCGGTTTGGGCAGGTTTAGGGTTATTTTGGGCTTTACGCGCCACCTGGTGGTATTGCGGACTTTTTCTTGCAAAGCCTGGTTAAGCGGCCCTGTCACTGTCAGCCACCACTTCCCACGTTTTTCAGTAACTAGGTTTCAAAATACAGTGCTATCTAGGTTTTCCTAAACTGAACAGTATTCCCCCTTCTTTCTCATTATGCTTTTGAAAAGGAGTTCAATATGCAATATACTTACCAATTCTGATATTTGGCCAAAAACATTTAATCAGAGGAAGCTTGGCTTACAGGCATGCTTGTGCTGCCAAATGCAATCCTGCTGCTGGATGTAAAAGCATTTCAGTGCCCTTCTTCCCATAGCTCTTTGGCTTCTCCTCCTTCATATTTCCTCCTGAAAACTCAATCAAATAGGCAGGGCAAACCTGAAAGACTGCCATGGGAGGCAAGAGCATAAAGAATATCAAAGGCACACAATCACTTATCCATATAGTCTTCCAACCTTACCCCACCCACCCAAAAAATAGAAAGAGGAAAAAATAGAAACAGCAAAGGATTGGTCCTTTCCCCAAAGCCAGGAAAGTATCTAATCCTCCTTCAAGATGCTGCACAAGAATGACGATGACCTAGCAAGGGTTTTCTCCCATGCAAGTTTGTTGAAAACCTGATCATTCCTGACGCTTTTCTTAGTTTGTTTGGCCTAAAATATTTTAGTAACAAGTAACATCTTATTTCATGTCCACAGAATGTCCCTCCTAGATAGAAGTGTGCATTATTTGTGTACTCTAGATTCTGCTTTGACATTTCCTGGACAGCACCCATTGCCAGACTGGAAGCAGTGTGCAACAGGTATACACTGACCAAGCACCATTTCAGATTTTGAAAGACTTATGCACTACTGTAAAAGCTGGGGAAGGGGGCTTCATTCCAGTCTTGCTCATGTTGAGGTTGACAGAGAAAGTTCTCTTTCACTTGTTTAGGATCATACAGTAGAGTTTGTCTTTTGCTTCTACTTTGTAAACTGATGCTGAAACAAGAATTTGCCAAAGTGGTGTGACAAGGAGGAGTCCACCCTGAAAGGCAGAAGAGCTAACTTGTTCTTGCTGGCATTACCGACAGTGGACCACCAAAGCCAAAACTCAGACTACCCTTGTACAACTCGCCAACAATTCAATTACACTGTTACCATCCTACATCCCACTGCCTGGGGGAAAGGATGAAGGGGGGTGGCAGGTATACACTAAGTCATAAGGTGGGCAATTCTGCAAACTGCCAGACCAAGTAGACTAGCCAGGGGAATTCAGAAAGGAGTGTGAAACAGTTGACCTACCTAAAATGAATCCTCTCATCCACATAATGAAGACAAAATTTGCATTAGAAATCCATACAGCTGTTTGGAAAGGAGAAGGTTGCCCTCAGGGACAAATCCACTCCCTAACACCCAGCCTTAGCATCTCCCTTATGCCTGGCCAAGGTCCTCCCCCTCATGAGGAAGAATCCTCCCCCTGAGGCACCTAAGCAACAGTGGAGCAATCCTGAGGAGGATGCTTTATTAAATTAAATGTCCTCGTGGGAGGATACAATTCAAGGGTTTTTTCCCCTTCTTTTTTTCCTCCCCCCCCCCCCCCCCCCCCCCCAATTAATCTCCTTTCTCAGGGAATATGAAAGTGCTGCTTTTGTGTGGCACAATTCAAACTGAACTTTGTCTCTTTGTTCTTTTTTTAAAGTCAAATATGCATAAAAAGTAACTGGTTTCCAAAATCAGGTTGTCTCTTCTTTCAGATCTTATTACTCACTCCAAATTCATCATTAGGATAGTGTAATGTGGATCCATGTTTTAAGCAGGACTAGCCAGGGAAAACAATGAGGAGTGTCCTGCCTAAATTAATACCACAACATGTCCCATAGAAAATAAATAAAAGATAAATCAGGCCAAGTCAGTTTCATTTAGGCCAAATGTGGGAGAAATTTGGTCTTGTTCTATTCTAAAAGAAATGAATATAAGAAATATATCCTAAATAATCAAGACTGGCAAATGTTTTGTATATAAGTAACCACGACTACATCCCTAAAATACAGATGAGGATTTTTCACAGCTTTAGTATCAGGTTTCCTATACAAAATACTCAGCAGAAATTCTCAAGTACAGCATTCTTTACTTTTAGTTAGCTCTTTTTTTTCACTTTAGTCAGTGTAAGCCCCTTAACAACACACTCCTTTTGCTGTCCTATTGTTTGTATGCTGATGAAAGAACCACATATATAAAACATCTTTGTAGCAACCCCTTAGAAGGTCTCTATTTTTGTAGAGTAAGAAAGAGCTTTAACTTGGTGGGCCTGGCAATTGCTTAAATATTGTTCTGTATACTGGCCAGATGCAAACAGTATAGTACAGTTATGGTCTGAAAAATGGTAAAAATAGTAACATGGGGCTTGGTATTTATGATCACTTAGTGACTTAAATATTCTTGGGTTAAGTTTTCTTAAAGCTGTTTTTCTAACCTCATGTAGTACAAATTCAACATAGGATATAATGGTCAAGCTATATTAGCCCAGTGTTTTACTGGTGACACCATAAGGAAGCAAAAGACGAAGCTTCACATCATGATGCCTCTATGCAGCTTCAGTAACGGGACTTTGCACTGTAGTTTGCATGGGTATGGACACCACCATGATTACTTCCTGACTGCATTTCAAGCTTGGGTCTCACCACATGCTTAAGCTCAAATTCGTTTCACATCTAAATATTTGAGTACTAATATTCAAAATGCAGGAGCTTCAAACAAGCAGGAATTTGGAGCCACACTATTCCTTACCCCAGATTCAAGTATGTGCCAACCCATAGGCTATGTTACCTCATGTCAAATTATCTGCTCTTATCTTCATGCAGCAAAATTACATGGTCAGTACAATGCAGACATGGTCAGTACAATGCAGACAAGTCAGCCTAGGAACCTTCTAAAAAGGCTGTTGCCTGCAGCAAGACAGTATAGGATATGCAGGCTGCTGAACTGTACTTTAGAGACAGAACTGCAGTCACACAGATGAGAAAGTACATGTCATTTCAGGCAGCTTTCTGGCCTGTGCTCCAGCAAGTAAAGGAGGTGCAGTCTGTCTGTCCCAGAATTTCATGAGTCTTCTTACAGCAAATGCAATCTCTGTCTCTGGCTTAGGTTACACATAGCAAAACTGTACTTCAGTCAGACAATTGACATGAAAATGTTCCTGATTGTAGCACAGTCAGGGAGCAGATTTAAGTAAATTTCATTCCTACCCAATGGCTAATTCCACTTCTGCAAGACAGTCTCCATTCTGTGATCATTCTTTGCATAAGACAGAAACATTAGTCAGGATGTCAGAAGGGCTTTCCAGCCTGGTCCTGTTCATTACTTCCTTGCAGCTCCTGAAGATGCTGAGCAAAACGGCAACACTTGCTCTGAGAAGGCAGAGTGCATGAACAACAGACAGGGCAAACTCCTCTTCCTACCAAGCAGTGCTCACTGTCTGTATTGTACCATGATGCAGTTATGTTGTTCAGACATTTTGCTGTTACCAAGTGTTTGGGATTGTTTTAATCTAATTTTCTTCAAGGTTTTCTTTATAGAGCAACTTCACATTGAGCAACTTCATTACCCAGTTGGGAGATGTATATGAGTAAAATTGGCACAGATCTATAGATTGGAAAAACAAAGGGAGGCCAGACCTCACCTACTCATACTGCACAGAGCTCTTATTCATGTAAGTAAGGTCGCTGATGAAGACAGGACTTTAAGTTACTTACTGAGAAGAAAATTAGTATCAGAAAAGTAAACAGAATTACAAAGTTCTTGACTCTCCAGCTTTGCTGAGACCCACAACCTCCTTCTCATGACCTCCCCTAAACATAAAAGTCACCTTAACTTTCTTTGGCATGCAGAAATTCTCATTTGTATGAGACTCCAGTGACTTGCCTCTCTGGCCTTTTAGGGCATAAATACCTCCTAAAAGAAGAAAAAGGTCAGATTCATTAAAGACTTCACAACTCTACTCATGACTACCAGGCTGTTGCAATGTAATGACTCCAGGAGATAGGTCTACAGTCCTAGTGTTAAGGAATGCAATTTGAGCCTTTGCCGGTACAGACATGTCACTGATGCTACTAAAACAAAACTTGAGCTAAAATTTGTTTCAAGTCTTTACTTGCTTGCAATGGAAAGTTTGCTGGCAGCTGTTGTCATCATTAGCCTTGTGGCGATGTTTTTTTCTGAAGTGTCTTGTGTCTTATTGAAGCTTAATGCTTGTTAAGTTGGGAGGGGACTTTGGGTGATCTGCCAACAGCAGACAATAAAGTGTTCTCCTGTTGTAACAGAGTCATAAGTTTTGGTTTATGGATAATGGCAGCTACACACAGTAAATTAAAACACACACACAAAAAAAAGAGGAAAACATGTGGGCTTTTCTCTAAATAGTCCATTTAGCCCATTACAGGCTCCCCTAGGGCTTTAAATGCAATTGTAAAAACACCCTAGTTTTTCACCATTAACTATTTTATTTTCCTAGTAGGCTAAGAGTGGGCATTTTTATAGCAATATCTCTAGCCATGGGCACCAATTTTATAAGTTTTGAGCTCAATTCCTATCACCTCGCTTTGCTGTGGCTCCCCAGACCAGCTGTGAAAGATGTGGTCTGGAGAATGCCCCCTCCTCCCTGCCCAGCTCTTTGGGAAGGAGTAGAAATTCATCACCTGCTTGTACACTGCCCTCTGGTTTTGTCTGCTCACTATGGATTGTTGGGATGGATGGTGGTCTAGCTATTAAATATGGGTCAGATACGTCAGCTTTATCCTGTAAACTGACAGACAGCTGTATCACAAAGTGTGCCAGGAATCCCAGGAAGGAATCACTGAGGCAAACCAAGCAGCCTAAAGCAGACCCAAGTACACGGGCCCTATGCAGTGAAGTCTGTACATGTGGCTTCAGGAGCTATGTCGGGGACATGGGACTCACTTCAGGACATTTGATAATTCACTGGCATAAAACACCAGAACCAATTAAGCCCACCAGCTTCAGTACAGAGGCCTTCTAATGTGTCCTGCAAGCAGATCAGGAGGTACTATATCACCCTATGGAGTCACACAGCAGCCTCAGACTATTAAGCTTAAGTTTAGGTTCATTATTATACAACAGGTCCAGTGAAGGCTAATCAGATCATGATATTTAAAAAGCAACCAGCCACCTTCAGCAGAAAGAAAAAAGCTAGAAGTTCGAGCAAGGAGCAGCATGTTTTGACCTTCGATTGTGGTTTTCCTTGTTTGCTCAAGTTGCCAGAGCCCTTGAAGTTACATGGAGCAAGCATGGCCAGAGACTGGCATTGTTCTAGCAGCATGAGGAAATTAAACTGTAAAATAAATCTGCAAAATGTGTGTTATTTAACACAGAGCATTGTGGGATGGAGATGTAAGTTAAATGGGGGATCCAGTTCCTTACAGTGACTCCGGCTCCTCAGGGTGACCTCGGGCCAGCCACTTCATTTCTGTCTTTTTTCCTCCTCTGTATAACAGCCATAATGACAATACACCAGTGCCTTACCCTTTTCTGCCTCAACTCTTCAGGCAGTGAGTTGCTGGCAGTTGCGTGCATGCACACAGCCCAGCACCACCGGGCTGGCAGTGCAGCTCGTCACGGCTCTTACAGCAGCAGGAAGGTGAGCAGCACTTCTGTGTCACCCTGTGAGCAAAGGCATAGCAAGGTTCACTACCCCTGCCATGGTGCAGGTAGAAAGGCAGCAGGCAATAACTACTTTCTGCACACTTAACAGTTTAAAGGAGGTAATTGCCATACATAACTTAAACCTTATGGGAAACTCAGGAAAGTGGAATTAACTATCTTGGCACTTGGCCTTGATTCTACTTCTAGGGTGTATTACAAAACATATAAACATCATGGAAGTGACAAATAGATCATAGAACCATGATCTATTTGTCATGCTGTGCAACAAATCAGGGAAAGTACTACAGAATAGGAAGCTAACATCTTTCCTCATGCATGCTCTGCCTTACAGAATCATCTCCTCCTCCAGGGATCAGAGGCAACAGCATTCCTGCTATTAGATGTCTTTCAGTTACAGAGGGACAAGAAGCATAGAAATAAAATTCCACTTGAGCATCTGCCTTTCCTAAGTGGCCAGCACAAGTATCTCATTCAGTTTAACCCTGGAACCTCCGACCCAGCCAAAAGCCAGCTGAGCCTCCCTGAGCTTACACACCTGGTAATCTTTTGCCAGGTTCTCTGCACTTGCCTGTTTTCCAAGCTTTCTTTCATGGTACTTGAATGTCTTTTCATCTTCCTGCATGATAAAACTAGATAAATTAATAGGGAAAAAAAATAAGAAAAAGAACAGAAAAGACAAATTAGCATTTGTAACAATAATCTCACTGGAATTTTTCTGGAACACTTATAGTCTGACCTTCCAGAGGCAAACTCCACAGGCTACCAACAGAAACTTTCCTCCTGTTCTGACCAAACCATTTACATAAAAAATGGGCAGGTTTTTTCTCCTAGCATCAGGATTTTCTGAAAAGTATTTCACACATCAATTTGCCCTTAGGTATGGAGACAGCTAGCCTCCCTGATGGAAGTGCAAAGGTCCCAGCTGAGCTGAGTCATCCCTCAAAACTAAAGGTAAGGTAATGGCTGCTCAAAATTAGGCAACTACCATGTTCCCAGACACAGAACTCATAAAAAGACCTGCCTAAATAGCTGTCCCAAGATAGGTATTATGTCCTTTTGCTTTTGAAGTGTCTCTAAAGCTCAGGTTGCTTTCCTCTGGTGCTAGAGCTCTGTAAGCAGCAATAGCATATGTATTTCAAACATCAGTCACTGCTGAAAGACAATGAACAAAGGGCCATGCAAAAGAAAGGAAAGAACAGAGAGCCAAATTCTCTCAGGTCACATGCCAGGTGAGATGACAATAGTTCAGGCTGCTCACTTGTCCAAACGAGGCCCTGCTGCCATCTGCCCACATATTTCTCTCTTTCCGGTGGTGTTGTAACAGCAAGTCCTTCATTCTTTTGAAAAAAGCCACCTGAACTATTGCATGTGTATTGATTTGGTTGATTTGCTGCCTAACTCTGAGCATCATTAATCTGATACAGAGAGCACTGCTTGAAAGGCTTTGACTAAGTACAATATCAAGTGTCACCCCTGGCTTTAGAATACAAAAAGTACAGATAACACCAACTAAAGGGCCACATTCTCCCTGGTTTAACTCTTCCAACCTTTCTAACAATTGCCATAAGGTGATTATTCTGGAGTTGAATCAGAGAAAAATCTGAATCGAAACAGAAACAGGAAAATGTTGCTTGGATAAAGATGTTTTCCTGATTTCTGAAGCATGCTGCTTGACTGATACTGCTGCAAATGCTGATGATTGGAAACATTCAGGTTCCTGTTTTTCAGGTGTTAGAATTGTGTTGCTTCTCTGAAAACTGCAATATGCTCAGCAAAGGTGCAAATCACTTCCTCTATGCAAACAAGATTAAAAGTTATCTTCAGAAAATATGGAGGTTGCTTCTGACCAGTACTGGTGAAATGCTTCATAAACAGTCAGGTAAGGGTACAAATCCTCCTGAAAGTGAGTATATTTAGAGTAAGGAGGAGCAGGCATTTACTTTCAAAAGGAAAAAACTTTCAAACTCAAATCCAAGTAGTCAGTGTTCTTGTCTGAAATCCTTCCACCCTTCCTGTACCCTGTTCATACTTCAGTTGCTGTATCAATTGTCATCCCTGCTGTTCCCATGCCCTTCTTCCTCTTCACAGACTGAATGCCACCCCTGGTGTCAGCTGCTGCTTTCTCCAACCCTGGCCTCAACAACTCTTGTCAGCAACCTCAGCACAGGGTGCTGCTCTACAGGCTGCAGTGCATCAGCCAAGTGCTTTGGAGTGTGGTCTGTGGTCCACAGTGGGATTTTCAGTGCTGTCTATGCTCTAACAACACATACATATGCATCCAGAAGAAGAGGTGGACTATTTCATTAGGCCAGCTGAAAAAGGGAGGGTGCCAAGCCCCCAGGCAGCAGTGCAACAGAGCTTTCATAAGCCTTAAGCAAAATAAAATGTAGCATCTTGTCCAGCTTTCCTGCCCTTGATCACTCCTAACATCCTCACTCCCAGGGGCTCAGTCTAACTTCTGTGTCATGAGTATGGCAGCGAGAAACTATCATGGTTTTACTGAAACTACTAGCTGAATTCTCAGTAATCCTGGTGTCCCTTAAAAGAAACTTCACAAAGCAGTTCAATGCAGTAATTTTTGTCCCACCAATAAACTTCTTCTTATGTTAAAAATGGTATTTTGATCTGAATGACAGAGGCTGGGCCAGATACTGACTAGGTTTTAAGCCAACAAAGCAGTAGGAAGCTAGGGCATGCTTGAGCTTTCTCTTTCTTTCACAGCCTAAGAATGGACTGAACATGGTCTAGAAACTTCCATAAGAGAGACAGGGAGAAACCAAAGTGACTGTTTTCAGTTTTTAAACCAATTCCAGTACCAGTTGAAATCAACCCCATGAAATTCACTGATACCAGAATGCCTTTTTTTTTTTTTTTAATGTGCTATTCCTTTGGCATTGCAAAAATATTTCCTGAAGAAAATCCACCTGGTATTGCTGACGGGTAGAGTACCTATGACAAAAAAACAACTTATTTCTGTCACTGAATTATTGTTTTTTACTGACGTTAAGAAAAGAACCTGGAGATTAGCCATTGATAAATGGTTTATATTTCCTCAAAGGTAAGTTTCCCTGTTTATGCTGCAATTCAGGAAATCAAGCCTATGTCAGATTGTCATTAACGCGTGACAATGGCTTCCTGTAACAAACAGGCCATGTTCCAGTATGCACATTCCACTTGCATTAATCCTTGTACTGCTTTGTGCTTAAAATACAGGAGGCAGATGCGATTGGAAAAACAACAAAGATATCATCTGAGCAGTAAGTATATAAGTGTGCAGATTTCTTAGAAAACCAGCATTGCTGACACTGGGCTGTCCTAGGGCTTCTCAGCATGTAGGTTGTATCTTGGCACCCAAAAAAAGAGGATAAAGTAACTCACATGTGCAGACAAAACTCAGGAGCTGAGGGTTTAACCCCTGCTGATGCAGTGAAGAAAGTGGAAGTAGTAGATTGCTCCTGCAAGAAGATATAACTTCTCCCTCCCCTCTGCTCTCACCCCAAAATAGCCACCAGCCATCTGTTTTGTTGGCTTTTTACTGAGGAGCAGTTAGGTATCTGGCTGCACAGGGGAAGCCGCAATTGTCTGCTTGGACAACAAACACTCCCTGTCCCTTCCAGCACAGACATTTAGGCAGCAGGATCCTTGCCAGCCCATTTTATAGAACTGATTTTATCCCTTGGTTCTGTATGCCCCCACAGAGTAAGTAGAAACAACCCCTGGAAGAGTCCTAAAACACAAAACCTAAAGAGCAAACAATCACTGAAAGGAGAAAGCACAACAGGACAAATTCTTCCCTCACCTACACTCAGATCACCCATTTCAGGCTGGAAAACAAACTCATGTACTTCATTAGTGAAATATTTTGTACCTTAGTATATAATGAGGATGTCTGCCCAAATGGTAGGAGAGCCTAGATCAATACTTTAGATGTGGTTTAACACTTTATGCTTTTGTTTCGGTGCCTTTTAAAGCATAACTCAAATACAAGTCCCTGATACTTGTTCTTAGAACTAATTGTACTACTGTATTTGCTTGAATATGAGCCAGGAATAAACTACAGACATGAGTGTCAGAAGAAATATATGACCAGACATATACACTGTTTGTTCACTATTCCATACATACTTTAAATTGCAAGGGGTGGCAGGTGTTTCAATTTGCTCACACATTTTCATTTACTGAGTTCAAAATAGGCTTGTTAGACAGTATTCTTTGTTGTCTTTTAGGTTCCTATTTGCTGCTGTTTTACAGAGCATACTGTCTGGTCCTGACTGTGTATGAGCCAGCCGAGTTGTAGGTGGAGAGTCTGCATTTGGGCCAGCTAAGAGGAGTAATGGTTGTTATCTAGTTAGTTTTGGCTAGAAGTAGACTGGGGGGAAAGGAGGAGGGGGCAGCCTTCATAAATGTCATTAATTGCAGAGGGTGCAACACAGTTATTTTTCTTGGTGTTGGGGAAAAGAAAGAATGGCTTCACTGGTGTGTTCTGATTTTGCATTTCCAGATACTTACATAAGAACAAAACCACATTGCTGATTTGCAAATAGAAACACCCAAGGCCTCCACACGGTATAACTCTAGCTCAAATTCCAATTACTTTACTTTTGTGAAAGCATATGTTAATATCTGATTTGTTTCCTAAAGAAGAAAATACTGAGAGAACTTTCACATGGGATAGTAGGACAGTCTCTTTTAGATACCTGAATCACATAGCACCCTATTAACCTACACACTCCATCTGTACAATCACTGCTTTTAGAAGAGATACTCCACATCAAGCTTCCTGACATTTCTGCCCACTTTGTACTAACCATGAAAGAATACAAATGAATCTTGCACATGGGATGTGAGCAAGTTTCAACAGATTAGATACACAAAGGTAACCACTGCCAAATGGACTAGGGAATGCCTTCAGAATTCACTAGTTAGTCCACTTTGAAAGTGGGATACATTACACTTATTACAAGTGTTTGCTGAAAACGGACAAAGGTAAAGTAGCCAGTCTGACATAAATTCGCGCCTTAGCTTGTTTCTCTTTAATTTTCCTATGTCAGACACAGTGATGAAGGATGAGACTTTAAATTGATTGCACTGAGGAAATCCAAAAAGTTGTCTGTTCACATTCAAACTATGCTTCCTGACTTAGTTTAGCTGATTAGGAATGGAAATCAATGTAAGTGGCTGCATGCGAATTTGCTCTAGCTTAACTAAAGCATTTAAAAATGCCTTGTACACTGAAATCTGGCAGCATCTGTTTTCTCAGGCAGCCTGACTCAGAATCCTGATGAGCTGTCAGCTGGATTCTACTCTTCTCTGGTGTAGGCTTGGATAAAGATGACCTGAGCCATTAGTCCTGACACAACCACCTTTTCTGAGGAGCTTATGGAAGTACCAGAAAAAATACACTTCCCTTAAGGGGAATTCCCACTTCCCTTGGAATTTTCAGAAGCTCGTAAGTACTTAACGGAAATAACAATACTTACATTGTGTCTGTATTGTACTTCTCTTTTTGATCACTAGAGCATTGAAAATACTGTGGTGTTATGCACAGCACAGTAACCACAGTGCAAAAAGAAACCTGACAGGCATCATGTACCAAAGAATCACTTCAAAGTTTAAATCTTTCCTGTGCAGGTGAAGAGTTTATGTTTTAGCTATGCAGCTTTCCTGAGGGAGGAAAATAAAATTAACACAAAAGACACTGTTAAATCACAATTACCTTTTCTGTGTTTGTTTTTTTATCTTTTTTTTTTTAGTTGATAAACAGGTTTGATAAACAATCTCTTCAGTGATAAACAAGTTTTGAATGAGGAAAATGTGTTGTGTCAATTCTAGAATTAGTCCAGGAATGCACTTATCCTGTAGCTATAAGTTCATTATACAGTTTCCTCATGCAACTGAGGCCTGAACAGCATTTGTATCATATTAAATAAGGTTTTGGTTACTGTGCTTGTGCTAGTTCCCCAAAAGTTTGATCCCTTTCACTACTGAAAATGTCAGATAGGTACCACTGATGGCTTTGTTTTAAAATGAAACATAGTTTAAGGTTTTTTTGGTTTGGCTTTTGTGGGTCCATCACTTTTGCCTTTCCTGCCAAGGTTTGCCAGTACTTCAGATACCCTAATGGAGGGTTTGTGGGGCTGTGCTATTATACTAATGATTCTGGTTTAAAAGCTCCTTTGCTATATTTTTTTTTTTAACCAGATTATTTAAATGATGTCCTCCACCAAGACAAAGGACACATCTGACACATGGTGTTACTTGGCAGGCAAGAGAAATGATGGAAAAAACCTACTGGGAGTCTGTCACTTAATGGTTTTATCTGAGCACAAGGCAGTGCCAAGCAGTATTCTTCCTTGCTTACTGCAATGGGATGCTGCTAGAACTCCTTCACAAAATCAGATTCACTAGAGGTAGATGCTTACTGGATTACAGCCAGTTTGTGATCTGCTGGATGATACGCTGAACTGATATTTATGGGCCAAGTCACAGGCTGAAGGTCAAAGCTGGAGGCTTGATGGGTCTGTGTCTTGGTTTGCTGCTTTTCTCCGGCAAGGCCTGGAAGGGATTCTCAGGTTACAACGAGCATGGTCCTGTATGCTGTGTAGTGACTAGCACCACAGGGGAAACGGCTGTTCAAGTTTCTTTTCCCCTTGCTTCAAAAAGCAAATAGCTCCCTTAACAGCTCAAGCCAGAAACATATACCAGAACAGTAATGTTTTCAAAAGTTTGTTTGATTATTTTATCATACAAGAAAGGTAGTATAAGAAGATTAAAAATCTGGCTTCAATAAAGTCATTAGCAAAGCTCTTTCTAATTCAGTAAGTTCAGAATTTTACCTGAAATATTAATTGTTAAAGTCCACTTTTCTTTTGAAAAGCTGGACCCTACATTTACTTCTATCTAGTATTTTCCCAGTACTCTCCTGCTCTTGCTGTTTCTAAATACAAGAAACAAGAGAGACAAAGCTTTAGGTATTAGAAGAGAAAATCCTATAACAGAAAAACTGTTGAATGAAGTTACGTAACTTAAGAATAGTTGGGTTTCTCTTGATGTTTTGAATTCTGAAGATGCTTAATAACAAAGTGGCATTTTAAGTTTCCAACAAACGATACTTTCTCGCTAACAACAGCTTTCAAACCAGAATTATATTTTTTCACTAATACTCAAAAAAACTGGAAAGCTGCAAATAGTTTTTTTTCTAATCTTTTAATAAACCTAGTGAATAGTCTTGAGAATTTTGGTGAGTCTTTATTCAGTAACAGCTTGATTTAAACTATTGCAATACGAAACATAAAGAGAAACCTAGTATGTTAAGACTATTTCAGCAAGCCTCCTGCAGTAGAAAACTGTAGCTTAATAAAATTATCTGGAGACACATTAAGGATATAGCCATATCCAAGGTCTTTGACAAAGGACAGCAGAAGAGGCTTTAGGTAGAAGTTAAATCACCCTAAGGTGGTGTCCTGGGTTCAGCAGTAGCAGTCATTTTTCTCCTTCTTGGTAGCTCGTGCAGTGCAGTGTTTTGACTTTCAGCTCGGGAACAGAGCTGATAACAATGATGTTTTGGTTTGGCCAAGGACTTGGTGAGCCTCATGCTCTGCCAGGGAGGAGGGGAAGCTGGGAGGAAGCAGAGACAGGACACCTGACCCAAACTGACCAAAGAGGTATTCCATACCACAGCACATCATGCCCAGGATGTAACTGGGAGTTAGCCGGAAGGGCTGGGAGTCTGCAGGGCTGGAGAAGGTATCGGTCGGTGCTTGGTCGGGCTGGGGGGGGGGGGGGAGTTATCGGTTGGCTGGTGCTGAGGTGTTGTATTCTCTTCCCTTGTTATTTCCTTTATCATTGTTATTATTGGTGGTAGCAGTAATGATTTGTGTTATACCTTAGTTACTAAACTGTTCTTATCTCAACCTGTGGGAGTTGCATTCTTTTTGACTCTCCTCTCCGTCCCTCCAGGAGTAGGGGGAGGGCAAGAAGGGAGGGGAAGTGAGTGAACAAGTTGTCTGGTTTGGTTTAAACCACGACAGTTCTTTTTGGTGACCCAGATGGGACACGAGGGGTTGAGATAACAACAGATCTGACTGGATTAATTGTCACTCGTCACAATGCTGATTTATTGGCTCTCAAGGTTGTTCCTCTTGATCTCACAGTTTCAGTATATCGTACCTTACTTCCATCCGGTATTTGCTTTATTAATGTTTTTCAAGTGTGGGGCTTGGGCTAAGGTTTTTGTCTCATTGTACTTTATGGTAATGACTTGTAATACAATAGAATCATTGATCATGAAACTGATCTGGCTTATGTTCCCAGTGTGGTCACCACCTTTATACTTTGGGAGGTATATAATAGAAGTGCTTAGCAATTACACATTTTTTTTCTCCTTCTCAGGTGCTCAACCTGTGAAGGAGACATCCTTTTACCCTCCCAATCCTCCCCCCAGACCATTTACATTTGAGAGTTTTGAAGTTTTTGAATGGCCTTTTAATGCTGTTGAGACTTGTTTGCTGATGGTGATGGGAATCACCACGCTAGCACGCATACAGAGTGTGTTTTGCCCACGACTGATTTCAAGAGTTAAGCAGAGTCAGGTTTGGGTCTTGTCTGGGGTCAAACGATGATGTAGGAGGACCAAGAGATTTCCCCTGAGGCTGGACAGCCATGAGTGGCAGGGTGTGTGGGACAGTATGGGCAAGTATCTAGTCCGCTGGGCCCCTCCAGTGCTTTGGAAGCGTCGGAGATGGAAGGCAGCTGTGTGGAGTCCCCAGCAACAAGCTGCAGAAACTGCTGAAGGGGACAGTGAATTATTTTGAGTGGGCCCATAGCACTTCAGACCATCAGAGAAAGAATACGATACCACTGGCCAAGAAACGAGTCCCACCCGGAACACAAATCACTACTGCTACCACCAATAATAATAATGATAAAAGAAATAACAAGGGAAAAGAATACGACACCTCACCACCAGTCAACCGATAACTCCCCTCCCCCCCCCCCTCCCCACCTGACCAAGCACCGACTGATACCTCCTCCAACCCTGCAGACTCCCAGCCCTTCCGGCTAACTCCCACTTACCTCGTGGGCATGACATGCTGTGGTATGGAATACCTCTTTGGTCAGTTTGGGTCAGGTGTCCTGTCTCTGCTTCCTCCTGGCTTCTCCTCCTCCCTAGCAGAGCATGAGGCTCACCAAGTCCTTGGCCAAACCAGAACATCATTGTTATCAGCTCTGTTCCCGAGCCGAAAGTCAAAATATCAAAATACTGCACTGCACCAGCTACCAAGAAGGAGAAAAATGACTGCTACTGCTGAACCCAGGACAGGTGGGAAAACAGTTCTCTTGTTTAAAAAATGTGAAGATGCAGAAGACAAAATGGAGAAATAAAATACCCAATTTCAACATGGGAAAAGGCAACTGTGAGGCCTCTGATACCCCTTGCTTCTATGTTTCCACATAGGAAGCCTGTTGCTTAATATAGTATCATCTGAAAAAGAAAACAAGTACAGAAAATGTTTATTATTCAGACCCCCAAACAATGACACCAATGCCACTTCTGGTTCCTGCTTTATAACCCTCTTTATAGCGAATACTCACTCTTCTGTAAAGATTAATGTCCACCAAAAACAAAGGTAAAGTATTCCTAAATGTTTGTAAAAAGATATGCTGCAATAATTCATAGTAATAATTCAAATCTGGTCAAATGCAGACAATTGACAAGAAAATCCAATGACAAGGGATGTTGAGATTTTAATCTGTGGCAGTCTTTTCTGAAATAAGTCCAATCACTCTCTATATGAGAGCACTGAAAAGACTATTTGTAGGGAGTACTTCTTTGAATTATACAAAAACGGAGGTTCCAGGTATTTGTCCAATCCCATTCCAGAGTAGTCACTCCAGTGTAATGGTCTGAGGTGCTTCAGCTACTTCCTGTTTGCATTTCCTTTCCTTCCTTCTTCCTTTCTGAGAGTGGAATAGACTCCTTGAATTTCCTAGCAATTAATTTTTCTCTTACATTTTCTCACAACATTCCTGGAGCATTACAGCTCATAGTGAGACCTCTCTACACTCCAAAGTTCACAAACCTTCTTTTCTTTCTTGAATTACCGAACTGGATCAACTGTTAAAGACAGTCTTAAGAATTGTGAAGAAAGGTAGATTGGCACCAAGAACATTAACATTTCAAGGCTTTTTCATCTCAGACAAAAATAGCCAAGCTTTTATAGCAGGCTTACTTTTGTAGTGAGAATAGTGACAGTTCTTTTGGTTTTTTTTGTATCTTGCCAATGCCCAGCCCTGCTGTCTCAGCAGAGGTAAAGGAAAATTTGTCATCATCAAATTAACTGCAACAAATTCTAATCTGTTCATGCTCAGGAAAGTATCAAAGAATGCTTTAGGTTGCATCCTTTGGCTCATTTGGAGGTATTCTTCTCTAGCTAGCCTCTAGGTCAGAAATTAACTGTTGCTACCTCTCTTCCCTATCCAAGGTAAGACTTGGCCTACTTTTCAGTGTGCCCTTTACGAACCATCAGTCTCCCTGCCCTTACACTGCTACACAACTAGTCAAGAGGAGAGAGATATTACCTAACTCTGATAGGGGTGTGGGGACATGTGTGTTATCTGAATTTGTTTGTGAAAGTACTGAGCAGCTTTTGATAGCT